CATGCCCCCTAATCACATATACCATACTCTGCAACAACGCCGGAAGAACTCCCTTACTGAAGTCGATAGATGCACTGGTACAATTCTTTTAACCTGAAAATGTGAGTAATAGAATGAGCTTCGAAAAGCTCAGTAATACAGAACTACCAGATGATACTGATGAACGTGCAGACACAGATAAATATATATTTCCTTATTTTATTCCGAACATGTACAGATTTTTATGCTGAGCAAAGATCCTACTGATATTTCAGGTGGTAACGAACAATGAGCTTTCAGTTCAGAGAAATATTTAGGATGACTGAGTTCAGGAGATCAGAATAGGTTTTCTAGTGTTCCCAAAAACCATGTAACTTTTCAGATCTTTTTAAAACATATATATATATACCCCCATCCCATCACAACATAATGTGTAGGTTCCCCAGAACCATACACCCAACCCAACACAACATATAAGGCCCTGAGCACAAAGCCGAGGTACCTGCGGAAATTCTTCCTTCAACAATACCCCCCAATTAAAACATTTTCCGTCATTAAACGAAGATATCAGAAATCAAAACAGAATTCAGAACAGATATCAGAACAGAATCCAGATCAGAAATCAGAACAGAATTCAGGTCATTTATCAGAACAGAATTCAAGTCGGAAATCAGATAAAATATTTATATGATTAGGGAACACACCAGAGTTTACAGATATTATTCAGAGATGCTAAATAATCTTAGCAGGCAGAGAAACACGGATTTTCAGTATACTGATAAAATACCGGACGTTAGAAATACTATTGGAAAAGTTCAATAACTGACAGAATCATCAGTTATTTAGGATATGATTCATCGGGATCATCTTATTCGTACACTTTTCTGAAGCTCTACGAAATTTGAAGGTATTCAGGATCTTTACAATCTATGACGATTAATCTGATTATCGAACAACTCCAGATGAATAGCTTCTAGAACCAATACTTACCAACTTGTCAATTCATTAACCTTTCAGGGTATTTACTCTTTAATACCAAATATTCTTATCCATAAATCATCATCTGAGTCATCACTGAATAGATCTTAAGGAGACAAACAAATATTCTAATGGTCTTTATTTTATTTCCATGTTTCAACTATACCATGAAATGCTGACGTACTTGATTTGTGGTTCAAAATCCATAGGGATGATATATCATATAAGTTCATCCGAGTTTCCAAACTTATTCCAATCTCTTACTTAATCCTCAGTCATTGAGGTTACTTAGTTCATTTAACATTCAAGTCCAATCTAGTTACTTCGGGATTTTGCCGAATAATTTAAACGTTCCTGAATTTCAGATACATGTTGTACTTCCATTCAATTCAATTTGGTCTTCGTGGTTGATTTGTCGAACAAACGTCCAATTCTTAGTACTGAATACGATCTAGATCTTAGCTGAACTGAATACTTCCAAAATTTGTCATCGAGCCAAACTTGAGAAGACGAACACATGTTCTAGAAATATTTATGTCATTCAGGTATTGACATAGCTTTAAGGTTGATCTATTCACTTAAATTGTTTTCCATTACCTTTAAAGGTAGTCCAATACTTATGCTTACTTGGATTCCTTAATTAATCCAAGACATTTACTTAATTTAGGCCAAAAGGGTATTTTGGTAATCTTGATGTCCAGTTTTATTCCATTCATTTCAGAGCTCGAGGATATCCAATCATTCCTGAGCTTGGTGATATTCTTGGGTCATTTCCATTACAAGGGTATTTTGGTCATTTTACAGATCTACGGTATTTCAATCTTTTCCTTCCATCCGGTCTTATTATTTAATTCAATCTTATCATTTACTTCAGTCCTTTCGAACAATTCTGACAGCAGAATACCCCCTATAAATTATTCTTCAAGTATTTGCTCATTATTCGGATATTTTCGAGTCAAGTGTCTTCTCATATTTTACAACGGAAATCATGAATTTTCTATACAAAGTCATGATCTTAACAATTAAATCTGTACTTAATCGAGTTAAGTACGAATCCCCTAAGTATTTTCTCATTCAGAGTCAACTCAGACTATTCTATCTCTTAAGGGCATTTCCGTAATTTCTTAACTAGATAATTTCGATATTAGCTCTTACCGAAAATAATTATAATTTAGAGATCCTATGATTAATTGATTTCGTGAACACTCTCTGATCTTGAAATGATTTCCTTAACAGACTTCTAATATCCTTCACAAACCCTCATAAGACTAAAAACCGGTTATCCGCATTCCTAATCAAAAATAGCATTTCTTATGCACATCAATAGTTTTTACCAGATCAATATGTCTTTTCAGAGTTATTAACCAACTTCTAGGGATAATTCTTATCATCTTACAACATAAGGGTATTTTCGTAATTTTACCCTACCAGATTATTCTCACAATTTCTCATCCAAGTACTTTTTAACATTTAACCTTTGATGAAATAAATTATAAATTGCAGATACAGGGCTGATTTCTTTATCACTAATCACAAACTTGTAATTTAATCTAACAATTCCTCAATCTCTTATATTAGTCATTCAATCCGTAATCAGTTACAGAATTTCTACCACATCATATCGAGTGTATAAATTATTCAACTCCACCAAAGTGTCCAACATTATCTTGTTCATGCATTTATCAATATAAACATGTTCCATAAGCATAAAGAGGTAGTAAAGTATTACCTCGATTTCCGTGCAATACTGATCGACCATAAAAATTCCATTCGAATGCCTTTGATCCTCAATTCAGCTTCCAATAATTCCTCAGATACATATCAACATAAATTATATCAGAAACGAAGCTTAATTACGATAAACGGATCGAATCGGGTGATAAATCAGTGAAAGAAGGCTTACCGGGTTCGAATTTGGTGAAACGGACTTCGGATTCGGAATTAGGACGTCGAAAGCATAAAATATGACTTTTCGGAAATTTGGAATTTTCGGTCAAAATCAAAGTCAACGGTTTTGACCGGCAATATCAAGGCCTTCGCGTCCGAATTTCGGAAAACGAATTGCGGAATTGGATTTGGAACGTCGAAAACTATCAAGATAGGTATACTCGGTCGAAGTTAAAGGTCGTTTAATGCCCGGTCAAAGCCAGTCAAAGTTTTGGTCAACAGTGGTCAACGGTCAACGGGTCAACGGTAAACGGGTCGGGTCAACGGGTCGAGTCGGGTCAACGGGTCGGGTAAACGGGTCGGGTCGGGTAAACGGGTCGGGTCGGGTTATGACCGGTCAAACCGGTCAACTATGCACCAAAACCGGTCAAACTGGTTATTTTTTCTTCCCCACGCGCAGTGGCGGCGCGTGGGGGCGCGTGAACAATGATAAAATCTCGGAAAAATTTCTAAAAATTATTTTGAGCGATTTAGAGATACTTACAAAGCTCGGTTCACAATTTTGAACGGCGGAGAGCTCGATTTCAACAAATCGTAAACTTTAACCGCTTCACCTCCACACGCGCCGCCACCGTCGGAGAAAAGGGAGGACACCGGTGGACTCCGAACGGCTCAAGGAACACGATGGTGCGGGAGGTGTCGTAAACGGATGACCCGATCGTTGTGAATCGATGAAAAACCAACTAAAATCGAGTTATTACCGACGATACTTCCGACTGAAATTCACGACGAACGGTGATGATTCACGACGAAAGGTTTGAGGGGTTTTGTTCCTCGGTTGACAACGAATACGATGGTGGTTTCGGATCATCGATCGGAGGTCGGACGGCGAGTAGATCGCAGTTGGAAGTTGGGTTGAGGGAAAACTGGAAAATTTCCAGAAAACATACGGGGATTGGGTTTATAACATCTTATATTTAAAAATGGTTAAACTAAGAGTTTAGCCACTGAACTTCCTACACTTCATAAAACGGTCTTCCAACTTTGAAATTTTGCAATTTAATCCTCACTTTCTTCCAAAATACCAATTAAATCCACCACTTTATAATTTCTAAATTTTAGACCCTAAATTGGGGTGTTACATGATCGACCTTACTTAGTTCTAAATAATTATTGTTTCTTATTTATAAAATCGAGTTTTTAAAGAAATATGAAAGTACTCATTTTCAAATAAAAATCGTTGAGCTTAATAATAATTTTGACACTAAGATAACATTTTTTTGTGACTCTAATTAATCTAAACCGATCCAGGTGGTACACTTGATTTTGGTGGATGAGTATCCTAGCGGGAATTTTCTACATACACAAGAACACGAACCTGAGACCTTACTTAAGCGATATCAAACTGTTTATTACTCTGAAAATGACATCTTTAATTTGTTTTACCGTGTCAACCATTATTATCCAAAATCAAAGCCTACATTTGTTCTCGATGACTTATATTAATAAGATTTTCCAACAAATACTCGTACATAAATAGGAAATATTATTCTTTAAATACATTAAAGGATTTAATATAGTCATATCCGATAATATAAGTGCCGATGATTAATATATTCGGGGAACAATTTCATTGTTGTTGGTTGCAACTACAGCACTCAAATTTTAGACAATGATGCTTCTGAAGACAAAAGCAACAATGCATTGTTATATCCACTACCTAAATTTAGGAATATTCATTGTTCGGTTTTAATCGAATTAAACGGTTGAATTAAAACTTAGTTCAATTAATCGGTCATTTGTGCGATTTTAATTGGTTTAACTGATCGAATTAAAATTTAGTTAGATGAATCGATCAACAACACATATGAAACTGCGTTTAGTCACAAAAGAGAGAATTAATCAGATTTTGTAGTCCAAAACCGAGATGACAGAACACTCGAGAAGTTGAAATTTAAAGAAAAACATAGCCAACAAAGAGAATTGAAACACTTTTAAATCAGAATCACACAACATTTCTTTCTATGATCACAAAAATGTAAAAGCCTTTAGCTGCAATTTATAGCAGCAAAACTAAAAACACATATTTACAGTATGACAAAACAGCTTTCAGTCAAAGGTTGCTGGATTGTATGTATGATCATGGCACTGTACAAGAGTGAAAAACTAGATTGAATATCACCTAACAAAACAAAACCAACCAAAAAAACAGCAGCGAGAATCATGTAATGATTCGAGAACTATGACTCTAACAAGTGGCGAGAAACCAATCTCGGGCGTGATATCGATATTCAACTCATCAACTTCTCTAGTTTGCTTTAGCTTCAGTGTTCAACCTGTGGAGTTTTTTTCTTCTTCTTTTCTGTAGATTTCTTTTATGGAAGTTGCAAATGGCTGATGGCGATGATGTGCCTAAATGGGCTTGCTTCTTTGCCTTCCACTGGTTTCGTTGAATCTCGGGGCTGCAATAAATGAAAAACAGGATTTAGAAACTGAAGAAGAACGAAACCGAAAATGAAATCAAGAATCTTTTGCTATGTTCTACTTATACATACCAAGTCCATTAGCCTCAGAGGTCCTCATGATTCGAAGCCTTCGAACGGAGCTGACAAACATCCTGCAACATCACAAGAAACCAACGCATACTATAAGCATCATTAACATGGAAATCGAAAATCAAATCCAACTACTTCCGATTCATTTTCTGGCTGCAGCTGTTGCTTATGATTAAATTTAAGTGTACCAATCAACTTCGTATCTATATGAATGGACAATTACAATTAGGTAAAGCTAGTATCACTTTCATTTATATATCATACCTCCATGGAACATCTCCTACAAGCATCCAGTCCCCCTCTTTGTCTTCATAAGTCAAAACAAATTCAGATGATCCATCCAAAAGCTTAGAAGCCATTGTTAATGGTTCCTTCTCTGCACCGATAAAACCGGGTTTAATCGTATTAGCTTCTCAATACAAAGCAGAGAAAAGAGCAGTACAGCACAACTAAGGAGGAATTACCAAGTGAATTAGCAGATCTAAGGAACATATCTTCAAGTGCCTGAGCCAAGGTCTCATAGGAAGAATGAGAATTCAAATCAACTTTCCTTCCTATTGGAATCCCATCCATATTCACCTTAACAAACCCAAGATGACCTTTCTCATTACCATTGAAATTGTGTTTCTTCTTCAAATCATATTTGGGCTTAACTTCTTCATCACCTCTTTGTGTCTTTGCTTGGTTCACGAAGCTGTTCACCCTATAAGCTCTTATGGGTGGCCACCCCACAACTTGGCTGCTTGCAAAGTCAAACATTAAAATGAAAATATTAATACTAGAAAGAATTTCATCAAACATTAGGCATAGCAGATATTGATAAAAGAATGTGAAACAAGTGTTACCTGACAGCAGTAGGGGAACCACTGTCATGGGAGATAGATTCAGCAGATCTCTTGGTCCCAGAAACAGCAACAGAAGAAGGACCTCCATTGTTGGTTCTTTGAGAAACCACTGAAGAAGGGAAGTCCTTCGCAGTCAAGATTCTACCATTCTCTTCCCATGAAGAATTAGAAGCCTTGGTCTTCCCTGTAGCACCGCCACCAAGGCTCAGCCCCAACTCCAACTCACTCTCAGCCTCAGAAACAACCTCCACTTTAGACAACACCGCAGATTCATTTGTGGAAACCCCAGAAGAACCACCACCGCCATCGCCAAGTAAAACTAATGCGCCTTCCATCACCAAACAAGGAAAGAAACCCAAAGTTCAAGACTGGTTACAAGTGAAGAAAAAAAACAGAATATTTAGCTAGTTTTAACAGAGGGAAATGAAAAAAAAAACAAAAACAAGGCTTTTCCTTCGGGGAAAGAGGAGAGGGCAAAAAGAAGGAAGATGGTGGAGGAAGTGATGATGATGGGGCCTATATGTCTGGTAGTGCGCCTAGCACTCTCACCGGACACCACACTCTTTACTTTAGAAAAAAAAAGACATGTTTTTTTCAATAGACATGATCATGTCTCTTTAGAATCCGGATTTCCTGGTGTTTGTTGAAAAATATAGAGCCGAGAGAGAGAGAGAGAGAGAAACTGTTGCAAAAAATAAAAGTAGGAAAGTTTAAGGAAGATGTGGGTTAATGTCAGATGTTTTTGGTAAAAATATAGAGCCGAGAGAGAGAGAGAGAGAGAGAGAGAGAGAGAGAGAGAGAGAGAGAGAGAGAGAGAGAGAGACTGTTGCAAAAAATAAAAGTAGGAAAGTTTAAGGAAGATGTGGGTTAATGTCAGATGTTTTTGGTCTGATTGTGGACATTCCAGGTCTTCTGGGTTAATGTGAACTGTCGTTTTCTCTTTCGCTTTTTCTTTTTTAGTTCAAAGTATGTTACATTTATTCTTTCTGTATCCCACCATATCCGACTCTTTTTATGACGTTTTATACTGTTAAAAAAAAGAAAATAACCTAAACAAAAAATATTTTATAATATACAATTTTAATTAATTTTTTTTTATTTTTCAAAATGACCAACAAAATCGCAATGCGAAATAAAAATCGCAACGCGATCTCCAGAATCACAAATCAGTTCTCAGAATCGCAATGCGATAGTACAAATTCGCATTGCGATTTTCCAGAATCGCAACGCGAATATGAAAATCGCAACGCGAACATATAAATCGCAACGCGATTCTGACTATCGCAACGAGTATCCGTAAAATCGTAACGCGTATCCGTAAATCGCAACGACAATACGTAAAATAGCAACGCGTATCCGTAAATCGCAACGAAGATACGTAAATCGCAACGCGTATCTGTAAATCGCAACGAGAATACGTAAATCGCAATGCGTATCCGTAAATCGCAATACGAATACGTAAATCGCAATACGAATCTGTAAATCGCAACGAGATTCTGACTATCGCAATACTGAATTTCAAATTTGCAACTCGATTTCTGAATTTGCAACAGGTTTTAATTTCGCAACACAAATGTTTTGGGTATATAACTACGCAGCAGCAGCAACTCATAACCTAAATCCCTAAATCGCAACTCATTCAATCTCCATCTATCACTCTCTCCGGCGACATCCGTTCCTATATCCAACAACATCCTTCCCCATCCGGCAACAGGTTTTAGTTTCGCAGCTCGTTTGTTTAGTAAATTAATTTACAATAATGAAATCATCTAATGTTGATCATGTTTGGATAGATTTGTGTTTTGGAGGGTCATGAGAGAATGTTCACGGTGTTTTACAATATATGCCTTTACCCATGAATCTTCAACTAAAACTGTCATTAAAAAAGTTAACTTATGAAACTCTAATGTTACGTGTTGCAAATAAATTGAATTTAGAGCCCTTAAGTGGATTTAGGCTATCTTATCAGAGAAATGGTAAAGTTTATTTGTTAACCGACAATGAAGATGTTGAACGATTCATTGCTTACATTAGTGTTTCAAGTGATGATGTTACATTGTATGTTGTTGAACCTAGAAGTAGTGAAGTTGGGTCAGTAGCGGGTAGTAATCAACTAAGTTTTTCAACCCCAGTTTATGGTGCTCAAAATTTAATGGTTCCACCACAATTTCATCACCAAGCAAATATTGTTTCACCACATTTCCAATACCAAACACAATCTCAAAACCCACAACCTTTCCCTAATCCAAATCCCAATCAACTTTCAGCACCAAATTCCGGTTTTCGTATTGACCAGTTAGACGATGATGAGCCAACAGAAAAAATTGTGAGTACTAGTCAGTATTCGAAATTTGATCTTGGTCAATACCCGGACTTTGATCTTGGTCAATACTCGGATTTTGATGATTTTTCAGAAGAAGAAACAGACCTTGCGTGTAATGATTTTGATATTGGTCAATACCCGAATTTTGATGATGAAACAGCCGTTGCCGAGGAAGATGTTGTTGATGATAATGAGGAGGAAGTTACGACTGTAAATGAACATGTTGAACATCCATTCTGTAATTCATATAACACTGAAGAAGAAAAAGAAGATGAAGAAATCCCCAGAGAAAAGTCCCCGAAGAAAATGTCACGGGAGTATAACTGGAATATGCCAGAATTACTTCAGATACCGGAAGAAGAGTTGGTAAAGATAGCAGTTGATTGTTACACAAAAATTATTCGTATCAAGAAAGATGATTGTTTTGATACAAAGGAAGACTTGAAGATAGCTTTGTATACGAAATGTGTGGAAGATGGCTATCAACTAAAAGTTAACAAATCAAGCAAAGATCGTTTCGAAACAAGGTGTATGATTGACAAAAACTGTATGTGGCGTATGATTGCAAAGAGGATAAAAGATTGCGAAATGTTTCAAGTTAGGACTTTTATTGATAAACATACATGTTCAAGAACCCAAGTTTTTCCTCACCATAGACAGACAAACAAAAAGGTGTTGGGTGGTTTTCTGGCTGAGTTAATGTTTTTGAATGGTAGGGTATATCGGGGACATGAAATTATGAATGACATGAATGCTCGGTTCAAGATTAGTATCTCATATTCTCAAGCTTGGAGAGCCAAATGTTATGTCTTGGAATTGTTGAGAGGGTCGCCAGAAGCATCGTTTGCCCAACTGCCGGCTTATTGTCACAATTTAAAGCTGAAAAATCCTGGGTCGGTAACTCATATCAAAACAGATAGAGATGAACGCTTTGAGTTACTGTTTATCGCCATTGGTGCTGCGTTTAGTAAATCAATATAATTTTGTTGACTCATTTTTGTTAGTTACATGCATTTTACATTTAAATGATTATATTTCTTGTGTATATGATTTTGTAGATTCGTTCGTTTATTAATTGCATACGCCCAGTTATTATAGTTGACGGAGCACATTTAAAAGGTCGATACCTTGGAGTAAACTTATTAGCATTAGCCATGGATGCTAACAATGGGATACTGCCAATAGCTTACGGGGTTGACAAATCTGAAACCTCTGATTCATGGACATGGTTTATGGGGCATCTTAAGGATTGCATAGGTCCTATTAGCAATCTGACAATCATATCCGATAGGGCAAACTCAATTGACAACGTTGTTAGAAGGTGTTTCCCAGATGCTTTTCATGGACTTTGTGGTGTTCATTTGTATAGAAATCTAAAATCAAGGTCTGCTAGTATAAAAAATCACAAATGGACATACTGGAAAGCTGTAAAAGCTTATCGGGAAGTGGATTTTAATAAGCATATAAACTGTTTAAGACGTGTTTTGCCTCAGTGTGCTCAAACACTAGAAGATGTCGGGTTTGAAAGATGGTCAAGAGTACATCAACTTGGAGCAAGATATGGTTTCATGACGTCTAATAGTGCAGAATCAATCAACGCTCTAAGTCGTCATTCCCGGAAATTACTCATTACTATGCTAATGGAGTTTTTTCGAGCCTCTATTCAACAGTGGTACTACAAGAAAAGAAACCATGCAGGTATTATTTCTTTAAATTCGTAACTTATCATATATTTTACTAAGTATTATTTATTTAAATTTACAGGAACATTGGAACATCGTGTTACACCATGGACAGGAAAAAAGATAACGAAACGTGTTGTGAAGTCAACGTCATGGAGAGTTGAACCATGTTCAAACACTTTGTTTGAAGTACTGGATAATAACTTAAATGGGCTTGTCGATCTAAATGCAAAGACGTGTAGTTGTATGAAATGGCAAACATCTGGTTATCCGTGTGGCCATATTATAAAAGTTTCTCTTCATCTAAACCAAGATGATTCAAACGCATACGCTATAGATTGCTACACTACAGAAGTATATCGACATACTTATGGCGAGATTGTCTACCCTATTCCACATCCTTCTGAGTGGGACATACCAGACGACTTACAAACAGTTTTGCCACCAGCCATGGACAGAAGGCTACCTGGCCGACCAAAAAGTCACGATCGTATACCGTCTAAGGGTGAAGATAAGAAGAGATCGACATGTAGTCGGTGCAAGGAAAGTGGTCATACAAGGTTGACATGTGGATCACCAGTGCCATCACAATCATCTTTTCCTCTACCAAAATATGGATCCTCATCAAAATCCAAAGCTCATATAGTGTTAAGTAAAAGGCAATCAAAATCGCAATCATCTTTAAAATCCCAATCACAACCGACTTCACCTTTTGGGACTGTTAACTTAGGTGATTTTTAAATGCAAATGTTGTATTATGTGGATTTTATGTGTGAACTTTTAACATTTTCTGTTAGGCATGTATTAGTAACTTGAGTTTGAAAATTGCTATGATCTGTTCAGTTGTTATCACTTATTAGGCATTCATTTGACTATCGCAACACGGAAATGACGTTCGCAATCATCTTAATGTCTATCGCAACGCGGAAATTACTATCGCAACGAGAGAATCACAATGCGAAATGAAAATCGCAACGCGGAAATGACTATCGCATTACGATTCTCTCGTTGCGATTTTCATTTCACATTGCGATAGTCATTTTTGCCTTCAACATAATGCAAATTGAAATCAACAAAATCAACCATTACATTTCAATCAATTAAACAAGCACAAATAAGAATTATGTTCACATCAATTAAACAAATCAAATTTTACAAATCATCTTTTACAAATCAATTAAACAATAAAAAAATAAGCAATAATTCTTATTTCCTCATCTACTATTGAATCAACTTTTGCAGCCATACATCATTTTCACGCAGCTCACTTCTGAGATTAACCTGCAGAAACCAAACATTTGCTCAAACAACACTTTCTACACATCTAAAACCTACAAACAACAAATTATTGAATTCTAGGTACTTAACCAAACATTTCCAAACCAAAAGCCTATAAACTTACCAATTGTTTATGGACACTTTCATAACTTGGATGCATGTAGGCATCGTCTCGCATATATC